ATCTATGTGTTTTTTTGCAGGGATGATCTCTTAGATATAAGCCCAAAGTTTGGTTTAGGTGCTAATAATGGAAGATCGCGGTTGGTACAAGGGAATACGAACGTTATTGCGTTGGGATGAACTACCTAAACATGAAAGTCATCTTTAAGGTTATTGTTTTTCTTAGACGGGTCATGGTGGTTTGTTTGGTTGTAAACTTTTTGCCTGAATAGTCCATTTAAAAGCATTGTTTTCATTTGTAAACAGGTGGTGCGTTTTATTAATACTATTGTTATCATAATACAATCTTATTTGTATGTTATAACAGTTCTTTGAAAGATTTGGCACGCACTAATCAATGGAGATAAGAATTCTTCAAGATAGCTAATGTATTTCCTAGTATTTCGTAGCTCAATGACTAAGTAATTGAGGTAAATGCAGTTGAAAAATATTGTACATACCTACATAAACTATATTTTGAATAACACATAGACATCTTTTCATCAATGTAAAATAAAACAGGCCTAAACTACTTTATTGTAGCATGAAATACGGCGCTTATTCTACCTTTATCTGAAAACTAGGAAGTTAAATTATATCTTATCGTAAAACAATTCCACGAAACTGACACTGAGTATGTGTGTATAATATGTATCTATCTGCATAAACACTTGTCTTCTAAAAAAGTTATTTTAAAACGCATTGAAAAATATTCATACAAGTGAACGTTTTACTAAATCCATTGTCATGGCGCAGTTACACTATGCAGGAAATTGATCGAACAGAAGTGCGAGCACACATACCGAAGTATGGGCGACGCACGGCGAAACTAACTGAAATGCATGTTTACACTATCTCGATCAATTTCCCGCATGGTGTAACTGCGCCATCAGTGTAGCAAACGCGACTCTACGTAGAGCCAATGCTCGTAGCATGCGTAGTGATTTTAAGGCTACAGCGAACGCACAACCCGAGCGATTTTGGACTTTATTTTTGAAAGCATTAGAGTTAAGTAACAGGTGCTTGGGGGGGAGATGGGAATCAGTGAATGTGCAATGCCGGTCGATGCAAGCCTTTGTTTCGGCACCGTTAGATGCTTGTACTTTGGATAGTTATACGATCGTTACAATTTCTTTGACCTTTTTAGAAATAATTATTAAAGTATGTTGGAAGTGGCCTCGTAATGATCTGACATGCATAGGTAGCAATCAGTAAGTATGAGCTTGTATCCAAGCAAATTAAATTCTAAAGATTGTGTAATTAGTGTATGGTGTGTGTGATAAAACTAATTTACACGTATTGACTAAAACACGCGCCATTTCCACTTCTACTTTAACTTTTAGTCTACATGTCTGGTGTGACATTTCAAAGGATTACCTAACGATAGGTTTAGGTACCTTTGAAATCCTTTAAATTACAAACCGGTGTCCGAATCCATACGCATTAAAATTTTGTCAGTCAAAATGGCCGCCGCTTTCATCATAATGATCATTATGTAGTATGTGCGTAGCCACTTTCCCATCTCGATTTCCACCGTTGCAGAGTGACCGTTGCGGCACTTTGCGCAACTCGGTGCAAGCCCCCCCTCCCCCATTCCCTCCCCCGCTCGACTACGCCTGCGCGCCTACTGCACCCCGGAACCAGGTCGCAGCCGAAATTCCACACTGCCCAGCCTAACTAGACCTACCCCTCGCCCCGCGATCGCCTTCAATCACCGTCCATCGACTGGGTCGACGCAGCTCAGCTTACGCCAGCCCAGATATACCTGCATATGCAAATACAGTTAGCCTGTAACGGTCGGGATCTAATCGATAAGGTATCGACGCGATGCAGTTGCACCCACCGCCCATTGCAGATGCGTAGCTGCCCCGGTGAGGGACTGCGTTCTGTGCTCTTCTGCATTAATTTGCATAATCGGTTATATCGCGCGTGATTGATAGCATCATGAGATCAACGCGACATATCTTCCGCGACCCGCGACAGAAGAGAGGGTATAATTTTTTATAATATCGATGTTGTAAACCTTTTGTTCTTTAGTTGTACCTACTGTCTTGTACCTACTATTTTGTCTTAGTAGAACTTTCTCCGCATCTGTTGCATCCTGTGAATGTTCTGTATGTTTTCTTAAAATTAGGGCTTTGTATTTGCAAAACTACTCTATGTCTAGTTTTCTTATCTTTATTGTCATTGTCTGAAATTAATGTTTCTTATATGATAACGAAAGATCAATCTTTTTGTGTAGTTTGTGAATAAAACTTTTTGTCTAAAGTAGGTAATGCATTTTTAATGTTTAATACTTTTATTGTTAGTAAAATCAAAGTGCTTATAATCAAGGTGTATTAGTACATCAAATAAGGATGGTTCCAAAATTCCATTTTGAAAATTCAAAATGTGAACGCATGACGTCATTACCCACTAACCCACCCCCGCCCTCTATCTGTCCCCCTCTTGCGTATGACGCTTTCCTATTCCATAGGCACTATCGATTGGTAGTAGATGCAACCAGATATAGGTAGCTCGTATGCATGTGCGTGTGGGTGTAAGTACTTCGCGTTACGTAACACAGATTTGGAGGTAGCTACGGTCCCTGCGACTGAATCGAACGATTTGAAGATTGCGCGCCGTTATGATAGTGCGATGATACGTTTTAAAAACGCAGATAGAGTTAGTTTTTCCGAATACAGACCCAGAATTGAAAGTTAAGCCTTTAATTGCAAGTCTAAACGGGAATTTGATATTGTAAAGAGAACAGAAACAATTTAAAAATCGTATCAAATTGATGCTACCTACAAGGCAGAGATTCAAGACGGATTCAGGCGTCAATTTGAGTTTCATTCGAATATTTCACTAATTGGGTAGTTTAAGAGCCATATAGTTAACTTAATAGTTAGCTTAATAGGTACGAGTATAAAGGCTTAGGCTTTTTAGTAGTCTATACTAATATAGGCCATTTAATACAGCACACTGCAATCAATACCACCTTAAAGATTTTTCACCACAGTTAGTATCAACGATTTCCGCGCACATGTCGTTTCCCGCCGTGGGAAAGCCACCATTGGCCGAACGCATTACGTATTCATGGGACAGTTCCGTGCTGAGGTGGTCGATGATCGACTGTCCACCCGACCTTGGTGGTTCACTAGCTAACCACCTTTATTGTGCCCTCGGTGTATTCGTTTGAAAGTAATAGCTTGGCTTGTTAATTACTTTTTCTGGAAGTATAGGCAATGTAATATGGCTAGTGACCTGTGATATTTCACTAGTTCAAGTTTTCCCTAAGCGGAAGGACATCAATGAAACGTAAACGTAATTTTTTGAATTACATTCGTTATTATCAAAATTTTGTGGTGGCTTAGTACTGAATTAAGTTTGATGGACTCCAAAAAGGGAGAAAGATTATTTTTATCTTCGATAGTGGAGCTATTTTAATAAGTTGCAATGTTATTGTACAAATAACGGCAAATCAAGTGACTTTACAACCATTTATAGTTTGATATGTTAACGACTGTACGTACAGTCAACTTACAATAGTTCGTGACATCCAAAGTACCCAATAAGTTGATAACACAAACTTATTTCAATGAGGGTTTTCACGAATGAAAGATCCGGTAGATGGCGGGACGTGGATGTGGGGTCTGACTGCTGCGTGATTGGTGGATTTTGACATATCTGTGAATGTCATGTCAAAAATAACCAATCATGCAGCATTTGGACCTCGCGTCTACGTATTGCCATCTGGCGGATTTTTCATTCGCGAAAACCCTCATTGCAACAAAGACGTGTTGCGAACTTTTTTGTATCAGGAGATTTTTTTTTTGGATCCATAAGATTCCGTATGCTTTCCGCATGTCTATGGGGTTCCTCCGTAACTTCGTTTCCGTATTTCCGGTTCTGTGTCGCGGTCTTTCATGTTGGCATCACGCTTTGGGCGAAAAGGATAGATAGATCTGATAATACATACAACTTTGTAGGAAGTACCCTCGTAGAGCTTTTACGCTCAACTTTGACTTTAATAAGTATGTTTTTTAAAGTCTGCTATGTTTGATTCTGCTAGGTGAAACAAAGACCTCATAAAGGTAGCAGGTGCTGAATGCAGGCCACTACCAACGGGTCAATATAGAAATCATTGGGAGGAGATCTACCTACGTTCCAACAGTGGACGTCCTGTGGCTGAAATAATGATAATGACGTTTATGCTCATACTCGTAGTGGCCATTAAGTACGAGTATGTAAGGTACATTGGAGGAGGCCTTTATCCAGCAGTGGACTTCATTTGGCTGAAACGAACGAACGATGTAAGGTACAATATGTTTTGGGTAATGCAATCACGGATAGCGTTATTACTACTCACAAGCAAGTATTATGCACGTAATGATGCTAATAATATTATGACTATTTGTCAGTCCTTCGTTCGAAGCTAAAATTATAACATTAACTTAATGTAACATCCCAATCTACCGGTACAGTCAATCACATTATTGTTGTGGGTAGACTCGAAGCAAGGCGCCCCATGCATACTCATAATGATATTGTTTTTATAAATGACTTCATCGGTGCGGTCTGTATTACACCCTTTGTTTAGATAGAGGGGATCAAGATACTATAAGAGCACGTGCCATAGTCTTTATCGGTGCTACGAATTGATGTTTTACATACTATTTTTAATAACTTTAGGTGTTAAATGATTAACGCGTAAAAATACGAAAAAAGTTTTTCATGATTCTACAGCGGATATGTAGGATTAAGGACAATTTTAAATCATCAAAAGGTGTTTGGCTAAAACATCTGTAACCCATCAAACCCAAAGCGGTCGCATAAGATCGCGCAACATTTTTTTTATATTGTATCTCAATTCGCGGGGCTTGAAGGGTGAAGCATTTTTGACCAAAATCAAAAGTAAAAAATATGGCTCTTTGTCTTTAATCCCTAACGGCGACACTGTGGTATCTTTTGTACCTCCTTTCTTACGGATAGTGTAAGTAAATCTGAGCGTTTAATTTGAACTAGTGATGTTTGTACAGGGCAGGTATCCGAGGCGGCCCGGGCATGGACTCCCAACAGCAGCAGTACTGCCTGAAATGGAACAGCTTCGGCTCCAACCTGGCCACCTCGTTCGCGAACCTCTGGAACTCGGAGAGTCTCGCAGACGTCACTCTATACTGCGAAGGTAAGACTTTGTACTTCTTTCATTGAACTGCCTTTGTTGTCTACTAGCTGTGCCCCGCGGTGTTACCCGCGGTAAAACGTAGCCTATGTTAGTCCAGGGTGTCAGCTAACTCCATACCAAATTTTGTTAAAATCGCTCCAGCCATATAGACGTGAAGAAGTAACAAACATACACATTACACACTCACCAACTTTCGCCTTTATAATATTAGACTTAGTGTGACTACACTTAGTTGGAGAATCAACTCCTTTACATCTATAGATTGAGCTATCGTGCACAACTCAATGCAATTTAATATGAGCTTTAGGTTTTTATTAGAAAAATAGACTGAAGAATCAAATTCAGGACTGTTCTACACAACGTTATTTTTTAGTGTGGATTTGTATTCTCGAATCTTAGCATTATAATCAGAGAGATGTGTAATGGAACTGCCTTCCAACGCAGCCATGCTGGGTGTTTTGGTTCCATGTCGTTTGATCCACATGAAAGCTCATGAACCGTAGATAACATAAGACACAGCGGACTAAAACTAAACCGATAATCGATTAGAAAGATATTTTTAAGTCGCCTAGCTTGTATTTGAGCGCTGACAAAAGCTTATGGAAGAAGCATTTAGTCCTATAACAACACTGCATAAAAGATATTGTACCGATAAAAATCTCGGTCAAATGAATCACAGCTACACAACTTTACAGCAAACACGAGGGTTCTTCATACAATCGGTACAGTGACCAAGTTCTTTACCTTTATGGAAAACAATTGAAGGGTTATAAAAACGTTTCTGAAAAGATGCAACTTTTTAAAAAAGTTTCGCAGGAAAATACTACTGCCCTTGTACATAAACAATAGAAAGCTCACGTTTGACATTAAAAAACTCACGTTAAAATTCAAAATCAGACATTAAAATTTTTCACAATAACCGTGGCCAAGTTCAAGTTGGTCCTTTCTTACGAGTCCATGAAACATTGTTTGCAGGGCTTCCGAACTTCAAAAAGTTAAAACAACAAAGTCAAGAGCGTTGTTGTTCTCATTATGTAATTGTAACAATTAATTTCCTTGACATTATGTACTGCCAAGGTTTTCATCTCTCCCTTTTTCTGTGCCAGAGTTGTGATTCGTTTGTTTTGTTAATTGTAAATTAAAATAAGTAATCTTAACCTAGCCCACAGGAGTCACAAACGGACATAGTTCCACAGCTGGACATTGGTTCAAAGTTGGCCTATCTACCAATGAACTTAAAAAAAAACTTAGATTTTTTCATACTCACCGTTCCGCATAATTACGCACGCCGTTTTATTTTTAAAAACAAAATTGTACTTTTGAAGATGTAGACTTTTTACGAAACGGAAAAGTATAATTTGGCATTTGGCTACATTCCAAAATGTTGACGGTACCTATATAAAAGTTTCTCGCTCTTGTTTTGATGGTCTATCCCACAGAGTTTTATGGTTCCTCTTATCTATGGCAATTGGATCATAAAATATTATTTTTTTACAAGTTACCTTCATAGATTTTTTTTTAATTTAAGCACCTATTACATTTGTTATTATTATTTTCTATTATTAACTTTATACGTAAGTTCCTCTTCAAAATAATTTTCGTGCAGTTAATTGAAAATGAACCTTAAGGCTTCAAGTTTAAGGATCTATCAATCATTAACGCAGTTGCCAAGCAGGACTCTACGATAATTTATTTACGACTGTGGTATTGATCGCTACCATAGAATGACGTTATTACTAGCGCATTGACACATAAATGGAACGTGACATATGTCAGCTAGGAAACTAAGGTAAATTCAGTGAACTGCTCCTGAATGAAATGTACCTACTACTGCTTTTTCTATTTATTTAAATTAACCGGCAGACAGTGGTGACTGAGTTTGTTGCGGCGCTTCTTCTCAGCACTTGCCAAATGTTGGTCTCGAAGCGCTGGTAGGGTAAAAAGATTATGAGACATGTAGAGGCTCCTTAAGTGCAAAATATTTGACGATTTGTAAGAACTATTTAATAGTCTATACAAATAAAGAAATTTTGACTTTGACTTTGACTTTGACAAAAGTGAAGTATTAAGTTATGATGTAACAAAAATAAACACAACATTGACAATTTATGTTATGATTAAATATCGCGACAGTAGTCAAAACGCATACCCAGTAAAAAAAAAAATAAAGTATTTTTGAAATCAGAGATACTCGTAGGTAAGTTCTAACTCGTAAATTCCAGGCAAACTCGCTCGCGTTCCCGCACCGCTCAGTCACTACAGTCAGGCACTTACTAAATGGCTCGAAGTTATGACTGCGATGTTCCCACGATTTGATCATAAAACAACTCTGAAACTGGATTAGGCATTAAAGGTTTCAGCCTACAGGCGATGTGGGTACCTACTAGAAATACATATTTGATTCTTTTTATTATGTCTTATGAGTTTTAAAGGAAAATAAATTGTCAACTTGAACATGGAGGACGGAGTAATAAAAATATACATAAAAACATACATAACATACAGGAAGTAAACAACATTTGAATTAATTTCGGCATTGGCTTAATATAGAATTATCTAATCGCTGCACTTTGAAGAAAACAAGGTTGATATTAAAGAAATACGAAGTTCATCTGATTATAATCACGCCACATAGGTGTTAAATCGCGTACGTGTCACAAATTACAAAGATATGGATATGTTAGTCTAATAATAATAGGTACGGTATTTTCATACAAAGTATAATATTTTGTTTGACAGATCATGAAAAGTATTTCAATTATCCGCGGTGTCCGATCGCCTATTAGGTACTTTAAAAATCCTTGAAAAAGTAAATTTTAAGGAATTTATCTATGTTTGAAAGTTCGAAAAACTTCGTATCTTGTTGTTCATATTATTAAGAAAGAAAAAAATTGTGTACCGAGTTGATAAGCGATAAGGTTACAATCCACAAAATATACAAATGAACTTATACATAATGTAAGAAAACAGTAGTAGTATACCAAAAATTTTCGTAACTCATCTTTTATTTAAACTACTACCTAACTGCGTCACTTATTATTATTCTCTAAAAACAACTTGTGAGTTCAAGTAATATCTGTTTTGCAATATTACCTGCTAGTGGTCATTGAACTGACTGCATCGTGCATGACGAAATGATGTATTTATTTTAGTATACATATAGTTATGAAAAATATTTAACGATTTACCTCTTATTAGTATGGTACAGTTTTTGGTTGAAAACATTCATATTGCGCTTTGCAAAAACATATTTGTTTATTTATTTAGGTTTACAACAGAATACAAATTAGTTTTTATATGAAACTATAGAAGAATATTTACACATTTTTTAGATTTCAGTCTTTACTAAAACTCTACCATTAGTTATGTTCCAGCCGACTGTGTTTGTAGAAGACGCAATATATTAGTATTAGGAGTTCCACCACCCACTGCTTGTCTGTCGCTGCCAAAACTGGCTGCTGCTGTTATGAAACGAATTCAAAACTAGATTCCAACTTAAGCATAAATTCAAGTCAATGTCTATGACAAGTTTCTGTTGGAAACTTCTCATGTTGTATTGTCCTGAACTGTTGGTAGAGCATGCTGTATTGGGGAGTATAATAAGTCAGACTCTAGCATGAGGCTGGTTTTAGTGTCACGCGGACCGTCCGTTGCGGACCCGCTCCGCACGGCCAATCTGTATGAACTTCTAGGGAGCGTTTTAGAGTAATGCGGTCCGGAGGAACCGCTCCGCTCCCTAGCAGTTCATACCGATCGGCTGTGCAGAGCGAGGCTCCGTTTCATCGGGCTCCGGTGGACACCGTCGGGTATTAGTGGCGGGCATGTCATCATGATGATGATGATGATCCATCCGACCGATTTCGGCCATGGCGACCACTCCGACTCCTAGCTGTCTTGACGGCGATGGTGTGCCCGAAGATGGCTTACGTAGCCGATCTTCGCGGCAAACCCCCTCGCACATTGGAGGGCATCTAAGCACGCCGCCAACATAGTTATAGTGAATGGCGGCAGATGGACGGGCCATCAAGTCATCGCGCTTCGCGTCGAGTTCAGTCGTACGCTGCTGTACAATAAAAAGGGCCTAACTCTACATACTAGGTAATAAATAATTTGAATAAGTGTTTTTCCTCAATACGGAAAGAATATCAGTTTCGTAACAGGCGCCACAAATTACATTATCGCCATTTATCAAGCCAATAACAGGCGTAATGTCACGAATGCAGGCGTAGCCTTGAAATTCGCTAAACTGATAAACAGGTCGTTGACTCCGCTGATAAGTTTTGGCACTACTTTTTGAATAACCAAATACGTGATACCTAGGTCTTATCGCTCGATGCTGGGAATGCAATGCGATAAAAATTAAGGCGCATTTGTATCGCGATACATCCGTATTTATAATGCAAATATGTGTTTTTGGATAAGTGCGAATGCGCACAGCTGCGACTGTGAAAAGCAAGAATGTTCAATTGGGTAAAAATTTTTTTGGCAAGTCTGAAGAAAGCCAGTGTTTATGTGAAAAATAGTAACAGGTCACAATTAAAACTACACTTAGTACCTAACTATTAACTAATTAACCTTAACTAATTTTGACACATGGCGTGCAGCATTAAATTCGTACATGTATACCGCAATTGGCTGAGTACACACACACACACTAAACACTTTTCCGTATAAAATATCTAAAACTTCAGCTAATAGTAATATGGTTGTTTTTCCAAGAGGTCCAAAATAAAAGCAAGCCATGGCAAGTTTCTTTTGGGGGCAATCGTGGAACGGAACCATATAAAATCGCCGACCCGAAAGCCTATGGGTTTAGTCACCCCGCGACGCAGCCTGGGTCAATGGGCAAATGGGCATACACTAGATTTATTTTATTTTCCTGCTGTTAGATTGATTATAGCACCAAGTTCTTTATTGCGCCTATATTTTAGGATATTTTGATGTCAAGTAAAACTTTTCTACTCAACATTAGTTTATCTACAATGACGATGTACTTTTAG